TTTATGGCACTTAATATGGCAGAATAATTGAACTGACAAATTCATGATGAATGACATAATAGTCACAGTCTCATAAACCACACTACAATGCTTTTTCCAGACAGAAAATTATAACAAAAAAGAGACAATAAACAAAAACAAAAAGATATTTAGTGGGCGCATTGAGTCTATAGAAAGAAACAAAAATGGATCTATATATATACACAATGCAAAAAGGTTTTCAGTCCGAACTGGGAACCCTTTTGCTCCCTTTTCCTCCAACTTTTCCTTGTGAATCTGTAAACCGATATATTGGTTTAGCATTACTATAAGCACAGGGAACACGAGCTGTGTGTAGCCTAACACTGCCACCCCCTCCCCAAACACAGCCAACCCCCCCCCCCTCCGCTGTTATCTAACTGATAAACCAGCCTGCTTCTCTGTACTGTCCACCACCCTGCTCCCTCCTGCTCGCTGCACACCGGCTCCCACTGCCAGTCAGCTCCACGGCCACATCAACAGGTAAGTCAGCAGCACCTGCTACACAGCTATACTCCACGCTGACTCTACACTGGCACTTTATTACTGTTTGTAGACAGTGTGGCTGTTGGTCATGAAATATTTACATGTCACTATCTGTATAGCTAGCATACTTTAGCTTAAAAGTCTTTAAACTGAGTTATCCATTTGAGGAGGTTGAAGAATATGGGTGGTTCATTTGTCAGTCAAACTAATAAGAACTGTCCTGTGTTCAGTGATACTATCATTTAGAAGTAACTGGCTTCTTCTCTAATTTAAAGGCTTTCAATGGTCAGCTAAACCTAAAAAAAGCAAGTTTGTGCAGCAGACTATTCCAGTGTTTTCTACAGCATATTTACCTTACAGCAAAACAATATAGGCTGGCCTGTACTGCTAGGTCTGCATTAGCAATAGAAGGGAGGACAATGCACCAACTGTGTTGAGCCAACAGTGCTTTAGAAATGACACCAGTGAGGCTTTACTGTGCGACACCCGCCGCTACAGTCTGCACACACCGGACAGGCGCATGGGATTTCTGACGGCCTTTCAGGTGGACACACACAGGCTTTCACAGCCCTGTTGGAGGGTCGTCAAATTACGGCTGTCTCAACAGGCTTTAATGAATTTATATATAATTATAATATATAATATATATAATATAATTAGGGCTTTGCATTGGCAAAAATCTAGAGATAGAATACGTATCACGATACTAGGTACAGACCGATTATTGTCCTGGACGATTATCAGATCAGATTATTATTTTTCATATTAAGTGAATTTTTCTTTCTTTTAAATCTTCTTGCCGATTAAATATATTAATTCAAAAACGTACTTTGGCTCTGACGCCGCAGCCTCTGTCCGTCTAGTCTTGTATCACTATTTTGTAGTTTAGTTCAATGTCCCGCCCACAGCACTATCTGATTGGTTACACCTCACGGGAAATAGCTCATCAACAGTGAATGTTGCTGTACCACAGGGAAATGGAAATTGTACTGCAATATAGTATTTGAGTAAAAGTACCTCGTTAAACTCCACTGCTTTATTGTAGAGTTTAATTTTTACTGCAAATGTAGATCTGTTCCAAATATCATTAATATCTGTATCGGCCTTGAAAAAAACAAAAAAACTATAGACGTCACATTACATTCAGGTACAGAACCATGAGCTATAAAACAGGTCCCTGTAAAGCAAAGGCATTGTTTGTTAGTACAATATTCACCTCTACTGACAATGCAATGTGAAAGGTACTTTCCCCACTACACAAGATAAAGTATCCTTTAGGTAGGTGGTAGGTGTCCGGGAGAGCTGGGCACTTTCAAACAACCAAACACAATAAACAAGGACTGCACATGCACTGTAAGACAGTATGATTGACTGACTCTGATTCAGATGTATGTGGCACACTAAATAGTCTGGTCAAACTGTTAAAATGCATCAGAGGTCATTTTACCAAAGAGCTGAGGGCCTCCAACATGGCCTCCTGCCAACCCAGCAGAAAGCCTTTACAACAAACCCTCATGGGAAATTCTGACCAAACAAGTCCTTTGACCATAGAGTACTGTGGTCTTTATACTGCTGGCACTATTATATATATTTATACTATGGTATACTGGAGCATAGAACAGTATAATCATTAGTATTGTGATAAACATCAACACGTGTTGATAGTTGGGGCAGAGTATGTCTCTATTATAAGACCTGACTTACCCCACACATTACATTACATTACACTATTGCTACTTTACTATTCCACCCGGCAGGTGTTGGAATGAGCACAATGATGCTGCTGTTTTACACGGTGGAGTATTTAGGCAGCCAGTTGTTGTTGTTGTTATTGTTGTTGTTGTTGTGCCCTTTGGTAATTATATTTATGCCGAATTAAAGGTTGCTTCCTGCTTTCCCAGACAATGCTTCCAGTAACGTTTTAATGCATTAAAAGCTTTTACTATACGTAATTGAAGATAAAGTGGACAGGATTTCAGTGGGGTTTAGTTCTGTCTCAGCTAGTCGTGGTATGTATTTTGGCAGCAAGTTGTAGTTGTTGTTTTTTAAACTATGCCCTTTGGTAGATTATATTCCTGCCGAATTAAGTTATTATTTCTGCTTTGTCAGAAAATGCTTCCAGCGGTGTTTTAGCGCATTAAAAACGTTTGCTATACGTAATTGAAGATAAAGTGGACGGGTTTTTCAGTGGGGTTTAGCTCTGTCTCAGCTAGTCGTGGTCCTGATGCTGCCTACGTGTCGTACATACCAAACAAGTCACGTAAGAACTTTAGCACAAACCATTGGTGGACAAAAGGCTACTAACCTACACCCAGAGCCTTAGTAATTCTACCAATATAACACATAACAACAAGCTAACAGGTGAAGTTAGCTGAAGAAGCTAATAACAGCTACACTGCAGTTATCAACACAAATGCTAATGCTATTCAACCGGAAGTGCATTCGGAAGAAGTAGGAGTGTATTTACAGCTGCAGTAGACTGAGTAACACATAAGCCTCTCAGTTCAAAGTTAGTTCAACTTTATCATGTTGTTGCCTCAACTTTACCTCATTCATCCAGCCGCCTGCATAACCCGCATGTAAGTACGGCGAGTACCGAGGACCAAAAGTGACAGTGACCGAGCTGTCACACACCGGGACTACCGTTCTCCTTCATTTTCACTGTAATCATGGTGTAAAGCTCTCTGTGTCATTAATGTGTTAATTAAAGAGCATGTTAACATGTACAGATATATACCAGAGCTTTTGAATGGGTTAATAATTCCCTCATATAATACAAGAGAGTCTATGGCTGCCCACATTAAAATGAACTTATTACTAGTTTGACATTTATTAAATAAGGTAAGTCCCATTGAGATTGACATGTCATTATACCAATAATATAGAATACTGATGAAGAATAATATAACGTTAGCTACATTAGAATAAAATATTGTTGGGAGTAGCAGGTGTGATGCAGTGATTGTGCAAAAAAAATAATCTGAAATTATACATTTTCAAACATGAAAATTAGTTTAGTTTAGTTATTTAACTATTTTTAAAATGAATTACGTCAATTAAAATTATTGGATTTCAAGTTTTTTATGTCATTTCAACAGTTTAAAGTTGTATATTTGAACTTACGAATGTGAAATAAAACGTTTGCTTGAATTATTATTATATTATTATTATTATTATTGATATTGGTAATAACAGACTTCCATCATGGTAACATGCAAAATTGCATATATTATGTGTTTTGACATTGTGATCATAGCCATGCCTGTAGAGGTCCATATCCTGTAACTATGCATGCAGACAACAAATATAAAACAATGGTATCCATAAAAAATACAGTCTTTACCTCAAAACACATCGTAAAAGTTGTATTTCAGATGTCTTTGTTGAAAGTCAGATGTGGGCGATGTATTACAGTCACAATAACAATTTTAATCACACTAATCGTATTTGAATGTTGGCGTTTGACTGCTTTAACCGAACTTGAACGTTTCATATAAACTGTTAAAGCATGCTGTATTCGCCGGTTTTCCCCTGGGACCTGAAGGCAACATAATTACAGGACGGTTGCGGCCACCTGATTGGAGGTCCATATATCTGCTGTTCTCTTATTGGCTCTTTGGGTCTCGTGCTCTGTCTGCAGCCCCAGCGGGTACACCAAGCTGCGCGTGCGCTTTGCCCCTCAACGTCGTTAAATTAGCAGCATTGATGCGGAGAAGTAACGGAAACGGGAGAATTTGACATTCAAAATAAAATAATGGAAAATCGTAGATAAGCAGAAAAGAATACGGTATACTTTATCTTAATTTCTCTGAAGGCAAAGATGTATTACTAACTGCTGCAGGTACACATGGCACAGCACAAACATCCCATATACAAATTGATTGGCAGATTAAGCTTAAAAAATGTTTTAAAGGAACATGAGAGCAATGACTTATCTATTAATGGATATGGGCTCTACAGTATCAGTAGAATTTAATATCAATTGACTGTACAGACAGACTGAGTGTATTTCCTCCAAGCCAAGTCAGAAAATACATTGTGTTGTTTCAGGTTTGGGCCCTTTGTCATTACACGATTAGGGGCCCATGGAGGTCTTAATTCAACCATGCTGGTAATTCAATATTGGGAACACAGGCATGCATTAAGAAACCTGCATTGTAACATCTTAGGCAACTGAATAAATAACAATATAAGAAATAAAAAATGAAAAAGTAAAATATTTTCTAAACAATTTTAGAGCTTGTATTGGATATACCTAGTCCAATTTAAGGAAGGGGCTATTTCTCAAATCCTGGCTGTGGCTGAAGCATAGTAACATGCTCTGTAGTATACAAAATGCATGTACCTTGGCATTTCAAAGCAAATCACCTAATTCTCCGATTGGGAATGGCATTGCTTTCGAGGGGTCGCGCCGCAGCGGGTATTATTTTGAAAGTCCGCGGCGGAATTTCTCTAGGTCATTACGGATGATTGACAGCCGGCGAGCCTTTGAAAGTCTTGAGTGTGACTTCAGTCCAGGAGAGACCATGTCCGCCGTCATAGGCAAACTGTGCTCACCTCTGCTCTCATTCAAAACTAATTCTCCATGAAATAACAGTAACGCGGGGCCTCAAGGATGGCCAACTCGGTGAGTAGCCACTTGGAGGATTTGCTTGCCAGTCCGGTGTGAAGGGGTATATTTGGACATTTTGCTGTTTTGTCACACCGGTGGAGTCGGTGGTTTTTACTCCGTAACGAGGATTTTCAAGCCGCACAGCTAGCTAGAACCGATACGTGCAGCTACCTCCTGAATGAACAGCGTAATGCAAAACTCAGTTCAAAAACCTAACAGTTTTACAATTTCTCCGCTTACCGTCAAAAAACGCGTTTGCAAAGGGACAATTTAAGGCGGTTTAGAGTGATGACAGTCTGTTCTTCAATTCGGCGTTATGTTATACGCAATGCATAAAGTATCACGTAATTCGGGTAAAATTTCAACTTTCCCGAGGGGGCTCCTTGTTATTTTTATTACATTATCGTTTAATAGGCGCGGACCGTTACCAAGTGGTTGAAAGCAGGGGCAAATTTCAATAGTATAAAGTTGGTGGAAATGTTCGCTGCTTCATGCGTAGTATATATTCAGAATTTACCTGTCGACCTTAGCCAATAGATAAAAGTCGTAAGTCAGGTTCTTGCAGGTGTGTAAGGGTTCACGGAAAGCAATATTTCATTAAATTGGCAGATTTTTGAATGGAGTTCTCAGTGCAGGAAGATAACGGGCCGGGTGGAGGGAAAAAAATGCAGTAAATGGAACATGTCAAAACCAATAAAAGGTTTTATTTTTTGAGTGTAAAAATCTTGAACCAGAAATGTATTTGTTTGTCTTTTTAAAATGATTTTTTAAAAACTTGTTTTAATTGGAGCAGTAACCCAGCATCATTCTATCCCACAGGGTGCTGTTCAGGTGAAACTAGAACTTGGTCACCGTGCCCAGGTCAGAAAGAAACCCACTGTGGAAGGCTTCACCCACGACTGGATGGTGTTTGTCCGAGGACCAGAGCACAGCAACATCCAGCACTTTGTGGAGAAAGTAGTTTTTCACCTGCACGAAAGCTTCCCCAAACCAAAAAGAGGTAGGAGACCTGCTGCTCCTGCTTTACCTTTAGCCCTTTGTTTCATGTTTTCTTTGACACTATGTCTTCAAACTGCTGAGTTTGCCTGTGTTGTGAGAGGGGGGAAGCCTTCAAACAAGTGAGCAGGGTTCAAACCCTTATATGTGCAAGCATTCACAGTGCTTATATGTGGGCTGTTAAGTCCCTGCAGCCGACTCTGACCTCTGACAATGAATTTCCTTGTGTTTTGTTGTATTGTGGAGAAAAAGCAGCGGGTTTTGGTTCTGTGAGCAGTAGCAGTAGCACATACTAACTATATATTGGCAAATGAAACAAGCGATGTGTGTCCTTTCTCTGTAATTCTCAGAAGGCAGACTGGAAGGGCTGGAAATAATGTTTAATGATGCAAAATGCGTTTAACAGTGTGTTCAAGTCTGCTCGGAGCGATTTAGTGTTTCGTCTTCCAAATGTCGCCGTGTGTGTGTGTGTGTGTGTGTGTGTGTGTGTGTGTGTGTGTGCAGAGCTGCTCCATTTGGGAATTGTAAAGGTAAAGCAGTGACAGGTGTAACTCGTGTTGGTTGCAGCCCTGCAGGCACTTAGCTGCCAGTGAGCCTCAAACACAAGTGAGGCAAAAAGTCTTTAAAGTCGAGACTAGACTGATAATTGCTATTCACCATCGCAAATGGATGCACTGCCATGTCAAATTGTGCACGATTATTGTCTCAACTAATCATTTTGTCTTTAAAATGTCAGAAAATGTGAAAAATGTCTGTTTCCCAGAGCACAAAGTGGATGTTTTTATCAGGCAATTTCCAGTTGACAATCACATGACGCAAAGAAAAGCATTGAATTTTTTAATTTAATTGCAATTGATCTATATAGATACATTTTCATTTGCTTGGCTCATTAATCAATCAATAATCAATAATCTGTCTGTTATTTCTCGATTCATTTTGTTGCAACATTGTCACTAATTTTTGTAGCTCTAGATTGTTCGGTGAATCCACAGTGAATCTCACCACTACAGTGAAATGTTGACTGTTTCTGTGCAAGCGTCTGCATGAAAACGTCTGTGGGCACCTCCAGTGTTGGATCGACCAGTGTATTCTGTGTAAGCTCTCATGCTGTGTTCTGATTGGTTGGTTGGTGGACGTGTGTGGCAGCAGCAGTCACATGGTGTGAATTTGTGACGGGCTGAATCTGGTGTTATCTCACTGTGATCTTGGATTTCACTCTTTGGGCTTCATTACCAGCGTTTCTGTCGTTATTGTCGTCTTTGTGTCTTCTCGGACAGCCAGTGTGTCAGGGCCTTTAGTCCTTATGACCGACGCCGAGACTGACGCTGGTCATCATCGATGTTGATTCCTCTTGTTGTTCCTCGTGTAATTACACATCATGCAGGCTGCTCGGCAACATTTGACCTACAGTCTTCAATATTGTAGCAAATTCTCTTTTTCTCCTTCTTCATATACATGAATCCGGTCATCCGTTTGTGTGTTCCGCCATCTATCGTATAGATTCTATGACAGCAGCAGCATCGGTCGCCGGATTGACAACATTAGGCAGCAGCCCCCAGTCACTAATAAAGGTACCTTTTTATATGGATGAAAAATGATACATATTAGTGAGACATTTGTTGACGACAGTAGCCCGATATAGAGGGGGAAAAATGACCACTTGACCATCCGCCACATTTCAAGTAGGGGTGTAAATATCGGAAACTATCGTATTGCGGTATATTGTTTTGTGAGATTGTATCGGTTCTCAAAAACACTGTAACCCTTCCTTACTGGGTAATGTAATACTACTGTACTAGATAGCTAGCTTATTTAATCAAGAGTTGCTTTAAACCAGTTATATTTGTTTTTTCATTGGTATTCATGATGATTCAATGAGTGGCGTGCCATGCGAGCATTTCTGCACAGGGAATCTATGTACAGTGAATGGTCATTCTTCATGAGGGAAAGTTTTCCACTACTGTTGGAGCAGCTGAGAACTGCACCGGTTCTTCCTGATTTCATAGACATTGTTGTAGAAAGTAACATTACATAGAAAGTCGAGAAAAGTAGAAAATTGTTCACTTCTCAGAACAGCGTGCATTCAAACACGCCGTAGGGAGACGCCACTGCAGTAATGGCAACTTGTTTCCTTCCGATATTTCCCTGGTATTGATGTTAGGATCAGTATATTGGTCTGTCAATTTGTGCCCTTTAAAACATTTTGAAGTAAACTTTTAAGTGTCTGCAATAGTTCCTGGACTTTATTTCAAGTGCTGCATGATACGGTAAAACCATCATATTGCGATTGCTGGGATTCCTGATTAGTGTGGGAATGATCAGGCATCTCAGCAGCACTACAGTGCTTCATTATAATGCTGTTTGACACACATTTTACCTTTATCAAAAAAACAATTTGCATATTGCACTTACTGGGATTTTGATAATACTTCCATTAATTGTGCAGCCCTAGCTGAAATGTTCAAAGCAGTATTTTTCCGACATGTGAAAATGATCATTCTGAGCGGCTGGGACCAGCTGAGGGGTCTGAGTCTAATATGGCACATACATGTGCATCTCCTTGATAAATAACCAGCTTAGAAACTGATGGACTTCAAAGCTGTCAAAAGTTCTGATAGAAGACGTGTTTTAAGACGGGCCACATGCACACAGCAAGAGTGTACTGTATTCATTTCCCCCAGTGCCTCCAAGCTGTCTATAAATCAAATTCCTATCTGCTGATATGGAACTCAAAGCTTAAGTTTCTCGTAAAAGGCCTTTGATTACGGAGTACCACATGAGATCTGGCTGCTGCGCATCGCATCCTCCTCCCTACACTTTTCCTGCTCCAGCCCGATCTTGATAGATGTGATCTGCGGCTGGAAGACCTAAAGCCCAGCAGGAGAATACTTCAACTCCAACAATTCTCACGTGATGACGCATGCCGTGAGATCTTTCCAGTGGCTGTGAAGCTTTTGGGGCCGGTCTGTTTTTTAACGCGGTGACAAATTGGGAGGCAAAGTGCTTCCTGATCCGTTCTCGAGTGGTTCCAGTTGAAACGCAGCCCAGGTGCAATAAATCAGAGCGCTCAGGTGAATGTAGCGTTGTGTTACACCCACAACTCTTTCTCCATCTGGTCAAACATTTAGTGAATGATATACATCACGATATAGCACATGTTCTTTAAATTCATGAATAGTTTCCACATGGGAAGACCTGTTTCTTCTTACATTTTTAATGATATACTCAACAAAAGAACAACAACTTTCAACTAGGGATGCACGATATGGATTTTTTTTCAGCCAATACAATAGCTGATAATTAGCTGCTTCTCATGGTGGATACCGATAAGATAACCGGTAATTTCACATTTTTGTATTTTAAAAGAAGTTCATAACATGTAGTTTTTACACACCTGGTAAGAAAGGATGTAGTGAGCAAAGATGGATGATTTAATATCCTATAGCTCTGATCTAACCAGATCTAACTGTAATATATACATTTCCCAATTATTAGCCCTGATAATTATCATGCATCCTTACTTTTAACTATAGCTGCATCAATGTACAGAGAGGTCCGTCTGGTCCATGCGACAGACCTTTTTTTAGATACAAGCTGGACCTCGAGGAGTTTGCTCCTCATCTTCGGAAATACCCCGTTCTGTGTCACGTTCACTATCCTCCATGTTTGTTTGTGTTGCCTTCATGCAAGTTTTCTGCCTGCATCCATTCTAACCGGAAGAACACAAAGGCTGCGTTCGCACTGCAAGCTTTAGCGATCCGTTTTTGTTTAAAGAGATCAGATTCCCTGTGATTTGTGCTGTTCACACTGTCATGAAAAAAAGATGAGTCACATACGAGCAAAAAAATCAGTGTTGTCTAAATCCCGAAAACTAGTGCTGCGAAGAGTGCCATTTGACAAAATAAATAATATAATAATATAATAATAATATAATATAATAATATGAAAGAAGGCATTTTTCTATTGTCACACGCTACATATCGTGATATCGCAGACTTTGTGATCTTGGATTTTATATGAACTAACTGTGGACTTGATTGGAACACTTAAAATGTTGGAGTGTTCTCTCTACATATCACTAGCATTAGTCAAAATATTATCAAAATCACAATATGGCCAAGTAAAATATGCAAATCACAGAAGCTGCAGTTTTTTGATAAAGGTAAAATGTGTGACAAACAGCATTATAATGAAGTACTGTAGTTCTGCTGAGATGCCCTGGACTACAAATCTTGTTTCCCACATGCAAGAAAACATGTTTGTTTGGTACAGACCCCAACAAATGTCACATAGTTTTGAAAGTGGAACTTGTGATGCAAAAATGATCATGAAGTGTGGTAATTGGAGCTGTTTCTACCTGGAGTTTGACAACCTCCAGTTTGTGAGTTCTCTCTGCTGAACACATACAGGAGAGAAGAGTTCAATTTCTTTCCTTTAGGGAAAAATGAAAAGCAACAAAGATGGAGGATAGTGATTCAGAGATTTAGAACCAGCTGTCCAGGTTAAATTGTAGCTCTGGAGCCATTTTGGATTTGAATGAAAATGGACAACAAGTGCTTCATATCAATTCCATATTACTTAGCAGCTGTTTGATAATCCATTCATTGTTTCATCAATTTCTCAAGATGAAAGACCCAACCCAAGTCCAGTTTGTAGATGGTGTTGACTTGTGTCTGACTGTCAGTGCTAAGTCCTACTAAGTGGTCCAGCTGGGCCACAGCTGGCTGCACACATGGAGGAAGTTTTGGGGTCAACGCCAAGGAAACCCACTTTTCCCTTTTTCTTTTTTTTTTCTCTTTGTGGCCAATAATTTAGTCCAATTTCTGCATCTGTTGAAGGTTACACTCTCCTCGCTTTAGAAGGAAGCCTTTTCCTCACCTGTGTGCCTCACGCGGCGACTCGCCATCCACTCTAAAATAAAACGGGAGGCATTTAAACAAGTCGTAAGCACAAAGTAAACCTGTCAGAAGGAATTGAGCGCCAACTTTCAAACCTATGTTCGGC